GGGGGGGGGGGTTTATACGTCTCCGAAACCCACAAGGACTGTCCAGGGCTTCCGCTCTCAGGGGTAGGAGCCAGCCCGGCTCAGAAGGAAGGCACTGAGGGGCTCTTTCAGGGGATGCACCAGCTGCAGGTGGACGATAGCAAACCGTCCTTCTGGGCTTTCAAAATCAGCCCGGGCTGCGGGGGCATTTGCCTGGGCTGTGGGGAGCGCACCGGCACGGCCGGGCGCTGCGAGGAGCTTCAGGGTTGATAACCGAGAGCAAAGTGGGTGCCTGCAGAGAGGGCACGAGCTCCAGCTTCGCTCACTTGCAAGGGACGAACCTTAGCCCTGCAAAACTGAGGCTTCGCGGCGCGCAGCGGGCACCAACAGCTTGACTGCGCTCTGACAGGATCAGCAAAGCTGGCATAAAAGGCGGCTTTTGGGCAACTGTGAATATTGGCACTGGGAGGGTGTGTAAAAGCTGCCTGGTCCTTCCCTCTCCCTTCCCAGTTCCCTCCCAGTGTCCTCGCCGGGCCTGTTCATGCATCTCTGCGGTCAGACTGGCAGTGACAGATGCTCTCCGTTTGTATTCCCCCTAGGAAACACACTGGAGAAAAGCCATTTGAATGTTCCAAATGCGGCAAATGTTATTTTAGGAAAGAGAATCTCCTGGAACATGAAGCCAGAAATTGCATGAACCGATCTGAGCAGGTATGCCCGGGAAGCTGCCACCGGCGGTCTGGAAAGCGTGTGCTGTTTTGTGGGAGCAGGATTAGAGCCTTTTTCCAGCCACAGTCCAGGTCACGCTCAGCTACCAAACAAAAACCCCTCATCACCACTGCGCGGCGTGTGTACCGCAGCCGGGACCGCCCCCACCCCGAGTCCCTCTCTTGATGAGGACGGCAAGCAGCTTTTGTCTGATTTACCAGACAGCTCTCATTTTGTCTGTTCTTTTTCAAGCACACGAGGATACTCTTTGTACCATAAGAGATCCAGATCGCTGCGGGTGCGGGTTAAACGTCATAACCAGGTCCCAGCGCCCGAGTGCCAAGCGCTGGCCTGAGCTGCAGACTTCATGTCGGACTCTTGGTTCTGCAGAAGCCGATGCCTCCCCCGTCTCTTGCAGGTTTTCACGTGTTCAGTCTGCCAGGAGGTGTTCAAGAGGCGAATGGAGCTGCGGCTGCATATGGTGTCGCACACGGGGGAGATGCCCTACAAGGTCAGCAGTGCCTGCCTTCGATGTCCCTACAAATGGCTGCTAGACACTGGCACAAAAGAAGAGGGGGCGAGCCTTTCTGTTTCAGGGCAGCCTGGCCCAGCCCGTCAGGGGAGCTGAGCACACCGGCTCCCTTCCCCGGCCTGTGGCGGCCCGCTGAGGGTCATTCCCCATCTCTGAACCAGAATGTGCTTCAGGGAGGCACCAAAGCCAGGCGCTTTCTGCGGCCTTACCAGGGATTCATGTTCCGCATCAGAACGGCACTCCCCTGCCCGGTGCGCCGGTGCACTGCCGGTCCTCTCCTTGCACCGAAATTGCTGTTTGGGGGGCGGCTGGAAGCTGACCCTCCTCTCCTGTCTTCCAGTGCTCCTCCTGCGCCCAGCAGTTCATGCAGAAGAAGGACCTGCAGAGCCACATGATAAAGCTGCACGGCGCACCAAAGCCCCACGCGGTAAGGGGAACGGGCGGCAGTGGGGTTCTGAGAGGGAATTATCCTGCGCTCAGGCCTGGCCCAGAGAATGGCACCTGTTGTCCTGTCTTGCTCTGTTTAGTGAGGCGGGGAGTTACAGAGCTGCTGGAAACAGGTTTTTTGGGTACAGGAGCAGCCCTCGTCATTTTCTTGGCTGATAGACCCAAGTACTGACCAGCATTTTGCTTTTGTCAGGCTGTCTCACCTCATCAGGCATCTTGGAACTGGGGGTGCTGCCGCAGCCGGCTGCAGGGAGGGCCCCAAAGCAGCAGCGGCAGGCGGAGGGACGGGTCTTGGGTGGTGAGCGGGTCTGTTGCGGGCGTACGCTGCGAACCGTGCCCGGGCGAGCTGCCTAACCCCGCACTCTCCTGTGGCCTTGCAGTGCTCGACCTGCTCCAAGTGCTTTCTGTCTCGGACAGAGCTGCGCCTGCACGAGGCCTTCAAGCATCGGGGAGAGAAGCTGTTTGTCTGCGAGGAGTGCGGACACAGGGCCTCGAGTCGCAACGGCCTGCAGATGCACATCAAGGCCAAGCACAGGTATGACATGACCCATGTCCTCCCGTCCGTCACTCTGGCTCTCCTGGCTGCGCTTCCTCCCTGGTGGGCCCGGCTGGGTGGTGCTGGAGACAGCAGTTGGCTGGAGGGCAGCAAGCACCCCCTTTCCCGGAGGTGCTGGGCTGAAACTTCTGCCAGAAATCCGATGAGGGGCCAACCGGCATTCTGTTCTTCTCTCTTCCAAAGGAAGTGCAGACTGTCGGCACTTCCTCTGAGTGTGTGACCGTAGTAACGCAGGTGATGAGCGAAGCTCATCAGCCTAGCTAATTCATGGTCTTGAAGTGGCAAGCATGCGGCAGCTCGCCACGCTCATCCTTAGCGTTCTGTTCCCTGGGCTGGTTATAACACCCAGGGGGCGGGAGGCTCCAGCTCGGGAGCCTGTGGCTGCAGAATAGCATTTGTGGGCCTCCAAAATACTTCAGCTTGAGATGGGTTGAAACAGGATTTAATTACAAGAACTTCGGGCAAGGAGCAGCAGCTAACCTGAGGGGCTGAAGCTGGCAAAGGCAGAGGCGAAGGTAACATCTCCCCTGCCCGCAGGAACGAGCGGCCCTACGTTTGCGAGTTCTGCCACCACGCCTTCACGCAGAAAGCCAACCTCAACATGCACCTGCGCACGCACACCGGCGAGAAGCCCTTCCAGTGCCACCTCTGCGGCAAGACCTTCAGGACGCAAGGTATCCCCCCGGGCGCGCGACTGGGGCTGGTAGTGCTGAGCACCGCGCTCCGGCATCCAGGACCTCCAGAAAGCAGCCGTGCTGTGAAACCCGCCTTCTCCTGCCCGCTTCCCCCAGGGAGCAAAGCCACGCTCTTGTGAGCGTGTGCTAACGCCAAGGAAGGCACGTTCCTGTTATCTCTATTACCCTCGCGGCACAAAAGAGGAAGAAATTGATGAGTTTTCCCCAGTAACGGTTAGCCTGGACCAGCGGGCTGCTGCTTGTACTGCTTCTAAGCCTTCCTAACCAGCCTGGCACAGACCGACTGCACCGCGTGTGTGCGGTCTCCGCTGCGGCGTGGCTCGTACCTGAGCCCCGGGATGGGGGGCACGCGCCGCGCCGTTGACCCGCGGCTCTCCCCTCTCCCCCTGCGAACGACAGCGAGCCTGGACAAGCACAACCGGACCCACACTGGGGAGCGCCCCTTCAGCTGCGAGTTCTGCGATCAGCGCTTCACGGAGAAGGGGCCCCTGCTGAGGCACATCGCCAGCCGGCACCAGGAGGGGAGGCCCCACTTCTGCCAGATCTGCGGGAAAACGTTCAAAGGTAACGGCCGGGGTGTCGAGCTTTCGCATGGCTCTTTAGAAACTGCCCTCCGTTCCGTGGTGCGGGTTAGCATCGCTGCGAGCGTGTACAACAGGGTGCTGCCGCCAACGGGCTCTCGCTTCCCTTCTCAGCTGTTGAACAGCTGCGTGTCCACGTCCGCCGGCACAAGGGCGTGAGGAAGTTTGAGTGCACCGAGTGCGGCTACAAGTTCACACGGCAGGTGAGGCCTTCGCCAGCTCCGGGGACCCCCGCGGAGCGTGCTGCACCGGGGGAGCCGGCCCTCACCGGGCCCCTCATCGTGCCTCTTCCTTTTGCAGGCTCACTTGAGGCGCCACATGGAGATTCACAACCGGGTGGAGAACTACAACCCCCGGCAGCGGAAGCTGCGGAACCTGATCATCGAGGACGAGAAGGCTGTGGTGGTGGCGCTGCAGCCGCCCCCGGAGCTGGAGGTGGGCTCGGCTGAGGTGATCGTGGAGTCCCTGTCCCGCGGCTCCCTGCCCAAGGAGATCCCCGTGCAGAGACTCTGCTCAAATGAGAACTTCTCTACGGCGGATGTGATCGAGGAATCACTAATTATAACGACGACGATTCCCGAAGACTGTGAAACATAGCGCGACCGCCTGCGCGCATCCTTCCTACCAAAACACAATAAAGCGTTAGGCTGGAGCCACTCTCTGCCACGCTTGTTCTTTTCGAGTTGCACATCCGCCCCTTCCCCACAAAGCTCCCACCCCAGGTTGCAGGGAAATGAAGTTACAATCGGGTCTCAAATGAAGAAACAAATGCGAAGCTACTCAGAATGGCTACTTAAATAAACGTACATATGCTGTACAAGGCAGGATGTGACTGACGACTCCGTGTGTGTAATACTGTGAATTGCTTTTTAACGAGCTCTCCTTTGCAGCTGGAGGGACGGCTGGCGCTCGCCTGCCCTTTCCTCCAGCGCTCTCACCTTGCGCTGGCGGTTCTGCCTTTGAGTCTGAAAGCTCACGATTAAAGCTTACCTTCCTGAAGAGAGTGCAGCTCTGCCCCTTTCCTTAAAAGCTTGCCGAAAGGATTGTCTCTGCCGTTAAATTTGTGCCTTATTTCTACTTCGTTTTGTCAAGCTTCTGCTAACTGCTGTTTCTTTACAACATTAAAGGCGGGGCATGACCTGTATCTTCTCACCATTGAGGTAATTTAGCTGTTACTTAGCTTGAAACACATTATCTCAAGGAGCTGGACAACGCTCTAAGCTCCTGTTTTCAGGTGCAGGGATTTATATTTGTCTGAAATAACATGATCCAGGGTTGCCGTGACATTGAGAACCGTTTCCTGAGTATTCCCAGGGTGGGGGGAAGATCACCGAGCATACCCACGTGCCCCGAAATCGCAGCTGTGCTCTCTCCCCTTTCCCTCTTGTACTCACCGAGAAGGCAGAAAGGCTCCCGTTTAAACGTACCTGAGGCCTAGAATGAGAAATATCACAGTAAAAACTAACTCCAGTAATCTTCCCCTCAAAGACGACAGAGAGATTTATGTAACATGTTTTATTTAACTTGACTGCTGCAAGTAAATTTAAAAACAAACTATGAGAATAAAAATACATTATCTGTAAATGTAAAATGCCTTTGTTTCAAAGGATGGGATTTAAACTGTACTCAAAGATTCAGACACAATGAATTTTACAAAAAATAAATACAGATCCGTAACTGTTCAGCCGGTTGGGGAGTTTGGGGGTGGCAGGTCCAGCAGCGAGCACTACAGTATGAGACAGAGTGCACGTACTATTTATAGATCAGCATAAATACTTCGGTCTGCAATGTGAGTTCAGCTGTGTGGCGCACACCGTCTCTCCCCAGGCACGACACGGCACAGTGGGGACAGGCTGCTTTGGCCTCGCGGGTCAGTGTGGTGGGACGTGGCCATTACTCCCAGAGACAAAGGAGCCGCCCCAAATCGCGAGCCCCCACACATCCCCCCTGCCCGGATCCTCTGCCAAAGGGGGGGCCCGCAGCAGCACCGGGGAAGGTTTTAAACCGAGAGGCTGCCGCAGCTGGGCAAGGCCCCTCTGGGATCCTCCGCCGGTGCGCAGCGGTTTCAAGGCACTGTCAAAGTTTCAGGTGTGGAGAACCGCCCAGATTTCATGAGCGGCTTTCCAAAGTTCCACAGCTGAGGAGCGTGGCATAAAATAGCATTCAAGGCAAGACAGATCTTTTTAAAGCTGTGAAGACGCTGATGTGGAGATGAGTCTCTGACACTGCTCAATCCAAGGGCAAGCCAGAAGGCGTGCAATCAAGTATACGGGCTTTCCATCTCTGAATTAAGTTTAAATTCAAATTTTTCTCCTATTGGTTAAAAACAAAAGATGGAAAAAACGAATGCATCCAGCCAACACCAGCCGTTGTCATGCTTTACAGTTTTCTCGAAGGCGCGATGCTTGTTCTCGGTGAGCCGTACCGCAGTTTTAGCTATTTGCTTGTTCAAGAAACATTCCACGAGTAAACTGCACGCAGCTTCTCTTCAGCTAAGGTAGATAGAGGAAACACAGCCCAAGCTAGCTAGGTCGCTTGGGTGAGTATAAAGGCAAATCTTACACAGGCCAAAAAAGCCAGCAAACCCCAAACAAAAACAAGAAAAAAAACCCTAAAACAACTACCTTTCAATCCACAACACTCCGACTAACTCCTACACCTTCACCAAAACACCTCAGCGGCATTTTCCAATTGCCCAAATCCCGAGAGCTCCTGCAAACCAGAGGTGCGACAGGCACGAGACCCCTCCAAAGGTCCGGTGGGTTCCTTCGCACAAGGTGATGCATTTAAAAGCAGTTCTGCATCAAGGTATCTAAACACCACCAGCAATTCCGCAAGCCTGCGGCGAATCTCCTGAGGAAGCTGCGCTCACCTTTCCAAGCAAGGTTTGGTTTTTTTTTTTTCTCTAAAATAGTACAATGTCGACTTGGCTCCTTTAAAACGGTGAAGAAATAAAAACTCGCCCTCACTGCACAGGGCCGATCTGCCCAGCCCAGCGTGCCAGCCGAGGGCTCAGCACAGGAGAACCAACAGCAAACAGCCCTTGCCACAAGAAGCAGCTTTTTCTGCCTAGTTCAGCCCCGCTATCAACAAGCCCTGTCAAACTGGGAAGGGAGAACGGCTCCTCCCTGAGGGCAGCAGCGGCCAGCCCCAGGAGTCGCTCCTTGGGCCAGCTAAGAGGGGTACTCGCTTCTCCCCTTCCCCTTAAAGCGGGGCGCAGCTGGGATGATCAGAAATGAAAACCACCTAGTTGTGAGAATGCAATTAAAAGATAAATAAGGGCATTTCTTCTTAGAAGGAAAAAGTGCTCTGCTAGGAAGGGTTGGAAAACAAATACCTGCAAAAGTTTAAATGCTGCAACTTAAAAAAACCCCACCAAAATACAGGAAGAACCAAAGTTCAGACAAAGGGCAAGGTAAAGCTTCATAACCCAGCCTCGGTGAGATCCCTGCTGCAGGATGTCTGTTCCTTCTGAGGGCACGAACGGGAACCGAGGACCACAGCGACAGGGCAGGAAGGGCCATGTTCTCAAATTAACCTCTCACCCCTAACAGACCTCCAGCTCTCGTAGGAAGGCCCTTCCCCCTCTAACCACGCAGAGGAAGATGTGCACAGGAGGTCTGTCTGCCTCCGAGGCACAGAATAGAGGCGGGGGTCCAGACCACCGTCCTACCAGACAGACCCCTCCCGAAAAAGAAACTGAAGACAGGAGTTTGGTGGCAAATGAAGCGTTATGGTGACGGAGCTCCCAGTGAAAGGCGTTTGACCAAAAGCCGTAAGCTGTGATGCTGCGGTGTCGTTCAATGCGATTGCTTTCCTCAGAGTTCACTTCTCGGGTCTCCTCTGCGGGCAGGGCAGCGCCTTCTCCCACCCCAGAGAAGGGCCGAGGGATGCCGCAGCGGAGGCCTCGCTGTCTGCCGGCTGCGGTTCCGCAACAGCACACCAAACATTCAGTTTTCACTCCCTCTATGATCAGTACGTTTTTGTTTCCAAGCACCCGTTTGCCTCTGCTTTCTCTCAAAGCAACACGGGTTCTGGATAATGAACTTGCATCGAGCCAGGTGGACAGCGCTTTCCCCTGCTAACGAAGCTCATTAAGGTTCTGGTTGTGAAGGTTTTGGTGCTGCCTGTTCAAGTTGATGGTGTTGTCCAGTGTGATGCCGTCATCCTCCTGTGTGGTTTCCGGCATGAACTGCCGGAATATGCTGACGCTGCCGTGCCAGAAGATGGGCTCGGGGAGTCGGCCTACCACGCTCCACATTCGCGTCTCGGGGTCGTAGGCTTCCAGGACGTCCGAAAGTTCAAACGTGTTATCGTAGCCACCAGAGACGTAGAGCTTCCCACCAAGCACGGCCACGCTCCCCCCAACGTGAACCTACAATTTAAAAATAATTATACACAACAATTAGAAAGGAGGGTTTTGCCCAGTTAGGTAGACGATAAAGGTGGCGGGTACCGTCCTGCAACTGCTCGCTTGGACAGTGCTCAGCGCCCACCAGCTGCTGACTCTGGCTCTGAACCAGCGCTGCCCAAACACCGGGAGGAGACAGAGTTTTCTAGCTTTGCCCAGCTCTTGCGTGCTGGGCTGACCGCCCAGCTATGCAATCACAGTCCAGGATTTTTTCTTCCAGGTGACTGCGATACACTTAAATGCACTCCGTGTGCAAGGGGTTATAATCTAAAGAGCACCTTGTTCCAAAGGTAAATTAAGCCAATTTTTAACACTGAAAGGCATCCAGTAGGTCAGTAAGTGTCCTACCTGAAGCATGGCAGGGATTTTATCCCATTCATTCTTTGCTGGATTGTAAACATCCACTTCAGCCGAGTCGTCTCTGTGGGAGATAACAAAATTACTCTTCTGCATTCTAAAAACCTCCCGCCTTGTGAAGCCCCCAGTTCAACAGCCTGAAACACCGTCGTGAGCCCTTCTGCTCTGATCCCACTACATGTATCAGAGACCGAAGGGTTCCTGTATGAAGGCACAGGTCTCGATGCTCACCCCAGCCTCCGGCGTGGGCTTCTCCTGCACCAGCAGTGATGTTCAACCCCGGAAAACGCCTGGACCTCTCTGCTGCACCCCTACACATGCAGCAGGCTGGCGCAGACATTGCGCACGTATCACATATTAGTGCAGGAGTGCTTCTCATTCTCGGTGCCAGTGACCTACATCCAAAGAGCCCAAATGCCCCTTCTGAGCTTCTCTACAGGCAAAGCAACATGCTCTATACTTCCTGGTGTACGCTGAGTTTTAGGACGCTGCCTAGGAGGGAAGGCAGACAAGACGACCGGAGACAGAGCAAGCTGACAGCACGCACGGTTTTCCACCTCCCTAAGTTGGTCCCTCCACCTGACATGGCCGGGCGAGCTGCTCCGGACTGTGAGCCCCGCTCGGAGTTCAGCGTGCAGCTACACCACTGCTGGGTCAGAAATCGCTGTGCAATCCCAAGGGCTTTCTCAGATCTAGTCTTTTTTCTTTACAGCTGGTGTGTTCACAGACTAACCTTCTGCAAGTCTGCATTTCACAGACCAATCTAGCTTTGGTGCCAAGTGCTTCAGGGTCTGGAAGAAAAATTACTGCTGTTCTGGAGAAGCTTAAACCTCCATGCCCCTCAAAGTAACGGCATCCCTACTGCTAGAGTTTTTTGCCAACACCAAATTTAGATGGGCTGGAAGACTGAGAGAGAAGAGCTGGCGGGGGCAGCGTAATCCCCCAAGGCTTCTCTCACCCGCTCCACTCACGAGACAGGAGGGCGACAGTGACAGGTGAGGGACGTTTGCAATGCAGAAACGTGCGCCGCTGACACAAGAATGAGAAGAGGACAAGGTCAGGGCAGCCAGAGAAGTGCTGTCAGTCACTCCAAGACAGTCCTGTTACAGACTGATTCAAAAGGCTGCAAGGAATATTTTACTGTCTTTGTATCTATCGTGACATCGCACATTGCCATGCATTGTGCGGGTGACAAGGTATCGCTATCGATTGCTGACATGAATCTGAGCAGGGGAGGGAGTGAAAATAAATGAGAAATCTCACCTACAACAGCAATGTCTGTTCAGCAAACCGTTACATCAGAAATCTGTCCGCTAAGCCTGCGGCGAAGCCGAGGTGCGTGCCGTGGGACTTTCTGGTTACGCTCTGGACAAGCATTCCTAAAGTACCCATACGATACACACTCTAAAACCAGTTTCTTTAGTTTGAGTTACTTTTGTGATGTACCTGGAACTGAACTGATATTCACCTGAACAAAACATCTTTAACGCGGGCACATGTAAGAGAGCGCTCCAAGCCCCACGGAGCTGCACTAAGACCAACGTTTCTTCCTCAGAACTGCTCAGAACCAAGAGCTGGTACCTGCCTCGGGACGCAGCGCCTGGGACTTAAACGCTGCTGCCAAGCCATTTGTAGCTGGAAGAACTGCTGCTGTTCATAACGCTTCCCGTAACTAACGGCAGCAGGTGAGTCAAATACTTCCAAGTATGAAGCTGGAACCCCCGATGGACTAGAAGGGAAACGAGGGGCAAAGGCAGTTCCAGGCACTGGTGACAGTCAGGCCAGGACCTCCTCTCCCATCTTGGGGTTAGCTCTAAAAAGGATGCAGCTGAAGACCTAAGCCTCGCTGCTATGCTGTATTTATAGTTATAAAACTAGTCCCACTAGAGGGGATCGTCACTCAGAAGCTTTAGTCTGAGCTATTAAAACTAACCAAAAAATGAGTTTGTGACTTTTATTCGTAACCTATTCCTCTGTCCTCCAAAGATTATCTTACAGCTTTATACAGAGCAGCAGTCCACGTGCAGCACGTGAAACGAGGGGAGAAAAACCTCAGCCCGATAATCTCATTAACTCCTGCAGATGCATAAGTGATCAGAAATCCTGAAGTGTCAATCATCAGTATTTTAAAATGGGTAAGAAAAAGAAAAACCTATAGAATCGGCTTGTGACAAGTAGCTGATCAGCTAGAACACCCCTGCCAGTATTTACTGAAAACCAGGTGACTCAAACTGCTATCTGCAAACAACTTCCAGGAACCGAGACACTCAGCTGAACCCAAATGAATCATATCAGAGGTTTCTGCTTTATGCAAAGCCAAGAGGAAATTAAAAAAAGAAAAGTGTCTGGAGGCCATCACAGAAGTCTATGTTTGCTCAAAGTCAACACAACAAGATGAAATGCTTCAGCGCTAGCATGCCTTTCAGTTTATTTTTAATTAAGCGGATAACTGAAGTATTTGCACCACCAGGACAGCTTCAGATGGGTAATTAAGTCCCAGTTTGGAAAGGCGCTTAAAAATAGTGACCAATCATTTCATCTTCAGTCCTCTTATCTCTGCTGAGATGGAGGATGTCCTCTCCTGCGCTACAGTTTAACGTTTTCTTGGAGCTGACTCGCTTATTTATAGCAACAAGGGGGGTTGAACCAGAAGCCAAGAAAACCGAGAAGTCTAATTCCAAGCAGCGCTGCTGACTTCAGCCAGATTTATACCGGGCTATTCCCCAGCTCGTGAGTTTAGATTCAGATATTTGTACCCAATTTTAAGCGTAGTTCTTTGAGGTCTAACTACAACAGCAGTAAAGGAAAGAGGTGTGGCAGTTTACGGAACCACCCGCTCAGTAGAGGGAGCAGTGGCAGTTTACAGACCCACCTGCACCGTCAGAGGAAGCACTGCCGTGCTTTCCCAACGCCGTGCTTTCCCAACGCCGTGCTTTCCCAACGCCGTGCTCTCCTACGACCGCCCGCAAAATCCGCATGCCTTCCCAGGAAAACCCTGGGCTTGCCTCATGGGGACTTGGGGAGGGAGGTTATCGTTCCCGCTACTCACCTGATGAAGTACATGAGGCCGTTGAGAGTGACGGTCTTTGGGGCGAATGACCAGGGAGGCAGGTGGCCGCAGTTCACGAGGGACCAGAGGTCGCTGTCGGGGTCGTAGCACTGCATAACCATGGACTCTTTGCCAGCCAGGGAGCCTATGGCGAACAGCTTGCCACGGCATGAGGTGGTGGAGCAGTTGTCCATGGGGTACAGCATGGGCTGCAGAGCCTCCCAGCTGTCCACCGAGTGGTCGTAGCGCTCCGTGCTGTCGGAGGCGATCACGTACAGCAGCCCGTCCAGGACCGTGGAGCTGTGGTATTCTCTGGCTTTCAGCATGGGGGACACCTCCGTCCACTCGTTCACACTGGAATTGTACCTCCAGACGCAGTCGTACAGCCTCGACCCATCCGATCCTCCTGCAGCACAGCACGCCACATTTCAAAGTGTGGTTTCGCAAAGGGAAGTACTATAGAGTAATGGAGGAGAGGGCTTGGCTCGGGACCGGGATCTTTGTTATGTCTTCCAGCTACACCTTCTTAATACACACACTCACTTCTCGCTTCCCGGGGCCGTACGTTATGAAAATATTTCAGTACTGAGGGACCACAGTAGCGTGCACTGAGAGGATTTTAATGGATGTTTTGCACTTTCCCAGCAAGCCAGGAAGGATTTCTCCCATTTCATTCCTAGTCTGTACTCAGCCACAACTCAAAACAAGTCTCCCAGGTTTGACTGCCTCCACCCTTCCAAATAACCATTTTCTCTCCCATTTTGCAACCCCTGCTCCATCGCTATCCAGAAGCTGCTGTGACATAGCGGAGACTAAAACTCACCAGTGCCTAGCTGCCAAGGCAGCATTACCGCCGGCAGCATGGAAACCCTCCAACTCTCCCTGCTGCCTGCGCTACGACGCTGACACTAAGCGGAACGACCGAAGATCCCCGCCAGCAGCAGCCGCCTCACCGAAGCACGGGGCTCTCGGCAGTATCAGTGCCCCCAGACCTGCCTGGGATTGCTCCGGAAAGCTTCCACAGGACATAAGGGCATCCATACAAATGAGCTGTGTGGTAGTCCATCATTTTTACAACTCTGCCCTTAAAGCAGAGCCTTGTTTTCTGCTCGTGACTAGAGAATGAACCGTTTTCTGTTCACCTGCGTTTGACCTGACCTTCAAATCTTTGTCAGAGCGTCCTGCACACCCAGAGCAAGCTGTTCTGCAGCACCTGCTTTCCCAGGCCCTGGTTTGTTACAGCCACCACAGGGCTGCCACTCCAGCTACAGGGATGTAGTTCAAAGGAGGCATCTACATGCAGATTAACAGCCAAATTTACACATCCATGTCACCTTGACAGAAGTAATTATAGCCCCAGCGGACTGAGAGGAGGCAGGATTCGTGCTGGGGAAGGTACCGTGACTCATAGGCGCTGGCTGGCTGAGGAACCCGGGGCTTTCTGACACGCCTCTGCCTCGAGCACGTGCTTGGCTTGTGATTCACAGGGCTCCGAACCCAAACACCTTCTTCACAGACAGAAATTCAAAACCCTCTCAAGTCACTCCTGTCCCCCAGAGTGAGCAGTTAGAAAGTTCTACCGGTACAAGGTCTCTGACTTCTGCCCACGTGCTCAGGAGCATTAGTCATGACAAAATACTTCCCAGATTGAGACCAGCTGCTAAATCCAGCACTGACTCCAGGAATCCCTATGCCTGTCTTCAGGCTGCAGTCATACTGAGCCTGAGCAGAGTTTCAAACTCTCTGCTACCCCGAGAAAAGCCAAGTCTCGCTGCTAGAACCCACATATTTTCAATGGAAATCTCAACACTGGTTCTTTTGTACCCCACACCCCTTACCGGTGACATAGATGTCATTGCCCAGTGCGGCAACGCTGTAGCCCCCACCCAGGTGCTCAGGGAACTCGGCCAGGTAGCGCCAGTGGCCGGTGCGCGGGTTGTAGCAGTCGACAGTGACGAGCTCATCGCAGTCGCGGTCGCAGCCGCCGACGAGGACGAGGATCTCAGCCAGGCCAGTGGAGGGCCGGGGGCGCATGCGGGCACAGGGCCCCCGGTCGTGGCGGTCGAGGCGGG